GCCTGATTAATTCCCAATGGATAAAGGCTTATCTAGAACTGCCCTATTTCTTGATACTATTATAATATTAAAAGTAACATTTATTTTTATAAGTCATTACCATCTTGGCACACTGTGTTCATTTTAGTCAAGTACTGTCATCTTTAGATTTCAAGCTTCCAAATTCTAAAAAGTGTATTTTTATATTTTTCTTGGAGAACACAGTCTTCCAACAGCAAAACCTCAGTTAATTGGAATGTCTAGTGACTGATGTGTCCAGAGTCAATCAGAAAATTGTCTTTTAAATTTCTGCATATTGTTGGAAAACCTTTCAGAGAGGACTTTGGGAGCGTTAGGCAAACCACGGCATATTGACCGTGAGGCGTCCTCACCCATGGGACGCCTGCGTACGTGGAGGAGCCCGCTAGAAGTGAAGCTCGATGAAGAAGGTGCTTTGCAGAATTCCTGCTGCCTACGACTCAGAGCTGTGAGCGAATCCTGAGAGCAGAATGATGATGTATTGTGTGTGATCACCTGGTGTGACGCGGTTGGTGGTGGGGCCTGGGGTACAGCAGTGAAAACGCAACATGAGGGTCTGGTAGGCAGGCGTCTTCCATTATTTAATAAAGGATGACATGAGTTTAAAGCATGTGGAACAGAGCCGGGCAAACAATAGGCACAGTTTTGTGTTAGGCACTATTGTTTTTTTATACTATTACTGCTTTTTAATGACTTTATGAAACCCAGCGTTTCCAGTTCTCTTGGATGGTGGAACCATTTTTCAGGTGATGCAGACCAAATGCACTCCAACCACCTAGAAAACCTTGTTCTGAGAAACACGCTTTGGCAAACTTCGGGCTGCTTGGCTTCCCAGTTATTTGGTTCTCGGTTTTCCTGACAGCAGCTCTGCACATGATTGTCCCCAGCCTGTGGATAGTGATGTAGAGGCACTTGCTGGAAGGGGACCCTGCCCCCACACATCTTTCCTACCTGCCCTTCCCCATGTATTGGATTGCTGGCGTGACTCGGCTGGGTGGTTCTGGCTGGCGCCTCTCTGAAACTGCAGCGAAGAGGTCAGCGGGGGCTGCAGTCATCCGACGATTTGACTGGGGCTGGATGATCTGCTTCTGTGCTGGCTTCCTTCCCTGGCTGGCATGTGGTGTTGGCTGGCCGTAGGAGACCTGAGTCCTGCACCACGCTGGTGTCTCCATAGGCAATTTAAAAAAAACAAAACTTTATGGTGCAAATTGGATTCTAGTCTATCAAGAAATAGAATTAATAGAATATTTATATTTTAAGCATTTATAACTAGTCAAAACATGTGTCTGTCCCTTTGACTTAGGGATCCATGTGGGCGATTTGTTTTGAAAATTTGGGCAATGATGAAGGAAGCATTATGGCAATCTGTGGAAGGACCCCCTAGACGCTTCCTTCTGAATCTAAGATGTGCGTGAAAGTGTTATTTCACCTTCCGATATTTCACAGTAAAAATCAGAAGTCATGAAGAGAAGAATTTAGTCTAAAAGCTGTTCTGTTAAAATAAAGTTTCTCAACCTTAGCATCATTGACATTTTGGGGCGGATCCGTCTGTCTTGCAGGGAGGCTGTCCTGTGAGGTGTAGGGTGTCCAGCAGCCTCCCTGGTCTCTCTTCACTAGTTGCCATTGGACCACCTCCTCCAGATGTGAGAGTCAAAAATGTCTCCAGAATGTGCCTAATATATCCCGGGGTGGAAGGCACCATCGGCCCTGGTTGAAACCACTGTGTTAAAATGTAGACACACTATGATAATTCCATGCTTTTATTAGGTATCACATGTATGGATCAATATTAAAATTCAGTATTAACGTTTGAGAAGGTACCTGGACAACCATTGTCAAGCTCAAGTGTCCCTGATAAATCTAAGCGGAATTGTGAGCAACCCCAAACTTAGAACTTTGGTGTTAAACCTGGGGGGGAGGTGGGGAGGTGGGCAAGGGCAAAACAAAACCAGTCCAGTTTCGCTGGTTGCCTGATAGACTTTGAGGCGCTTCTGAGTGGGAGAGTAATTTGCTTTGCTCCAAGTAGGGAGAGAGCATTCTTCTTCTTCTTGGTGAGCTCTAGCTGTCCGCTGTTTGCCAGGTGGTGCCTCAGGCTGGCGGGTTCCCTGGCTCCCTCCTGTACGTCCGCTCCCCGTGCAGACCTCTCTGCCTGTCCTGTTTGCATCTGTCAGTCCTGGAGAGGGTGAGACTTCCACAAGGAGGATCAAGGCAAGCTGATGCAGGGCAGTTCCCCTCCAAGAGTATAGGCCCCAAGGGATGGAAAACCGGGGCTCAAACACATACTTGTACATGAATGTCCATAGCAGCACTAATCACGGTGGGCAGAAGGTGAACGCAAGCCACGATGCCCAGCATCATCTGATGGAGGGACGAACAAAGTGTAGTTCGTCCACACAGTAGAATAGTATTCAGCCACAAAAAGGAATGAGGTGCTGATACACACTTTATCATGGCTGAACCTTGAAAGCATTTTGCTTAGTGAAAGGAGCCAGACACGCTTCCACTGATGTGACATGTTCAGAATAGGCAAATCCAGAGAGACAGAGAGTAGACTGGTAGTTGCCAGGGAATGAGCCGCGACTGCCTAATTGGGTACAAGGTTTCCTTTTGGAGTGATGGAAATGTTTTGGGACTTGACAGTGGATGTTTGCACAACATGGTGAGTGTTCTGAGGGCTCTGTACCTCCACATGGAGGGGCTGCTGGGACAGGTCTACACCTGCCTTGCCTTGAGCTGAGGAGCAACCAGGAAATCGTGAAGTCCTTTTTATATTTATCATTACCTTTGAGAATAAAGAGTATATTGCACATGTTAAAATCATTGGCATTTCACACCAATACTTTGCAGTACATGAACGTTTTTGCCAGTACCGCTCATTGGTGGTCATTCTATCTGGGTACTGATCATGGGAAAATCAGTTACGATTAGGTATTGGAAGATCGGATTTATCATTTTTAATTTATTGTTTCTATCAGTAAACTAATTTTGACATGTTGCATAAGCAGAAGAACATTGCTGCCCAGTCATATTTACCCATTTTTGTGTTTATAACACACAGATGATGTTAATTACACTTACTGAGTTTAACAACATATATAAAAGATAATCTTCAATTCCAAGACTCTCATTTGTGAGTTACCATCTGTTTTGGACCAAAGAATGAGAATTTGATTCTAAAGATTTTTCTGAACAGCTTGTAATAAGAGCTGTTTATGTATTAATTACTTATTGAATTATTATGGATTTTAGTGTTTTAATTTCCAGGCAATTTGGGGCTTATTGTGGCGACATCTGCTCATATTTTGGTACTTTATGGTATTTAGCGATTTCATCAGAAGGCTATTTTTTTTCCCCCGCTCTGGTAATTTACAACTCAATCCTGAAAATAGTAATTTGCTTTCTGCTTCAGGTACTGTAAGGACTGTTGTCCTATTTTATCTCTACTGCAGAATTTTTTTCATTATGGAATGTATTTTTATTTTATGAGCAAAACCAATATTCCTTTATGTCTGCTTCACTCTGGTGAATAACTTCTATTCAGAGAGTTGTAGGGAAATTTTGTTTAAATCTCATTTTTCTCCAATGGTAGCTTTTTAAAAAGCGCCCTGGTTATTTTATCTTACATATCCTTATGGTGTTTTTTAAAAAATGTACTGTAATGAAACTTAAGGGCCTATGAACCTACCTGTAAAATCTTTTTAATCTCCTTTCTTTGAGCAGCATAGCTATAAACATGACTCATTGGGAATAATTTACTTGAATTTCCTTAAAACATTTCATGAGGTTCTGCATTTACTAATAAGAAACACCTTTGCTGGGCGCCTGGGTGGCTCAGTTGGTTAAGCGATTGCCTTCAGCTCAGGTCATGATCCTGGAGTCCTGGGATCGAGTCCCACATCGGGCTCCCTGCTCAGCGGGGAGTCTGCTTCTCCCTCTGACCCTCTTCCCTCTCGTGCTCTCTATCTCTCATTCTCTCTCTCTCAAATAAATAAATAAAATCTTTAAAAAAAAAAAGAAACACCTTTGCTCATAAGCTTCACTGGTGAATTTGAATCATATTAACCCTGGCACCTTTTTATCACTCACGATTGAACAAGAATTTAGAGAAAATGGCAGGCAGTTAATTTCCTTAGATTTTGAGCTGGTAGACAATAGTAGATAATTTAAATGTAGGAGTTGGATTCATTCATAAGGAAGGAAATTATATGAGGAAGAAGGTAAATACTATTAAACCAATGAGGGTTGATTGCATAGTGTTTATACTGACCAAAAAGTAGAAACATGTTTTCGATACGAAGGTTAACTTAGGACCTTGCAAACCTGGCTTCTTCAGAAGTACAAATGGCAGAACCCTCGTGAAATTGAAATGTATGACAATAACGGATAAATTGAGCCATAGTGAGTCAATGCCTTTCTTTTGCTTTATTTTCGGGAAGCCAAAAAGGAAAAAAAAGACTCTAATGTTGTTTCTTTGTGTTATGAGGGTGTATATACACATGGACATGCACGCAAGGCTGTTAAAGCATTAGGCCAAGTGAGGTCTATAAAGTTTCTTTAAAGCATATTTTCTTCTCTTAGAGGCGTGTACAGTTGAGTTTCTTGGTTGCATAGGAGACAGCCCCGAAGACAAAAGCATTTCAGATAGGCATTGATTCTCATTAAAGGATAGCAGTAGCAATAACTGAGCTAAAATTAATTTTATTTACTTGGAGACTTTCCTTTCGGGATTTCTACACACATGATAATACAGGCTGGCTGCGCTCCTTTCTCGTCCTTCACTTTGCAGGTAAAACTGCATAGTCTGTGTTCAAGTGTAAGAGATTGTGACATAATAAAATGTGTTAAGTTTGAGTTGAGATGAAAAAGGGAAACAATGCCACCGATTTGAAAAAGAAAAAAACCACGAAATGGGAGAGGCCATTGGTGAATACTTCCCAAGGAATTTTTAAGTTTTTTCTTCCTATCTCCTCATGTCTCACCAGGCAGCTCCCGGCAGACACTTTGAAGTTTTTACGATCGGATGCTGGGGAGCTCACTGGTTCAAAGGTCTACACATGAAGTCACCATAAAGGTAAGCAACCCACTTGCTGTTGAATCTCTGTCCTTGAGCCGATAATCCCTTGGAGAGGTGGAAGTGCATTTTGCCCAAACTGAACATCTTCTGTTTTAAAATGACTTTTTTCAAGTTGCAGGTCTTTCTCCTTGCTGAAATTGAAGGTAATAGATAGAGCACTGGGAAATCATGGGCTAAAATGATGAATTCGCGTTTTATTGCCTTCCACGAATTTTGGGTACTGAACCAGCTATTACAAACTTTTCTGGGTCTTACCAGGAGAGGATGACACCTTCTAAAACCAAATCTTCTTGTCAACATTGTGAATTCAAATTAAGCCAAAAAAGTAATTATGATTAGGCACATGAGTATAAATTTTATCTTCTGTAACTTAATTCTGTACTTTATTAGTTTTTCTTTTTCCTTTTTTTTTTTAAAGTAATCTCTACACCCAACATGGGGCTCGAACTTACAACCCTGAGGTCAAGAGTTGCATGCTCTACTGACTGAGCCAGCCAGGTGCCCCAGTGCTTATTATTAGTTTCTTAATGCAGTTTGTGTGTATCTGCAAACTGATTTGCAAGTTAACCTTGAAACTTAATGAGAACAACATGTAGATTATTACTTACAGATCTAGGAGATAATAAAGTTTCCAGAAGAGCACATCAAACAGGTGCCAAGAGTTGAAGCCCATATACCGAACTAAAACTGACAACCAGTTCTCTAACAGTGCTATGTTTTGGTAGATGGGATTTTAGAGTTTGATTTTATTATTTACTTTTTCTGTTTGCTGTGTTATTCACTTTTTGTATTTGTATTTTTTTCCTTTATCAATTTGGTTGCCTTTTTCTTTTTTTTTAGTTTGCTAATTTTAATTCAATTAATTAGCTTATAAAATATTATGGGTTTCAGAGGTACAGGTCTGTGATTCATCAGTCTTATATAACACCCAGTGCTCATTACATCAAGTGCCCTCCTTAATGCCCATCACCCAGTTACCCCATCCCTCTACCCCCTCTCCTCCATCAACCCTCAGTTTGTTTCCCATTTTTTTTTTTTTAAGAAAAAAAACACCCCACAGAACTTCCGTAATTTTAAGAATTTTGCTTATTGCTTTAAAAAAACTCAATCGGAACTAAAGTGATAGTCCTAAATTTAACTACAGTAAGAATCTTATTGAGGTATTTTTGTTTAAAACCAAGTATGTAAAGGGGCATCTGGATGGCTCAGTCAGTTAAGCGTCGGACTCTTGCTTTTGGCTCAGGTCATGATCTCCGGGTTGTGAGATTGAGCCCTGCAACGGACTCTGCGCTAGGTGTGGAGCCTAACGGAAGATTCTCTCTCTGCCCTCCCCCCCCAAGAAAAACACCCAAGTATGTAAAAACAACAAAGTAAATATATAAGAATCTCGATATTTTACTTAAGTATTTGAAAAATGTAGTTTGCTTATAAAAACAAAAATTTGTAAAATCTTAATTGAGTTTGTGACTGGCTTTAACTTAACATAATATTTTCAAGATTCATCCATCTTGCACTGTGAATCTTTTTTATGGCCGAATAATATTCTGTTGTATGGTTATACCACATTTTGTTGATCTCTTCATCAGTTGATGAACATTTGAGTTGTTTTTACCTTTCAGTTACTATGAATCATCATTATTCATATTACTGCTGTTCTGAACATTTGTGTGCAAGTTTTTGTGCAGACACACGTCTCCATTTCTCTTGGGTGTATGTCAGGGAGTAGAATCGATAGGCTGTATGGTGACTATGTTTAACATTTTGATGAACTGCCACAACTTTCCATCAGCCAGTATTTTTTGAAATGTAGTTGAACCATCTTCTGAATGTCGGGGAAGATGGGAGAGGTCTGTCGGTCCTCAGAGTTTTGATTGGGACTTAACTCAGTACTTAGGGAACATAAGCTTTGGTTGAGTTGAGCACACATTGAATTCCTACTGTGTGTGAGGCACTGGTGTTGAGCTTTAGAGATGGCTTTGGATGTTTGTGGGGGATTTTGGTAACCATGATAGACCGTGGCAGGTGGTGTTCCCTGCTCTCACTGTTCAAGTGGTCGGTTTGTACCTGAGGAGCATCCACGTTTTGGGGCATCACCTGCAGGTTAGCAAACCAGGCAGCTTTCAAGCTGGGAACAGACAAGGCAGGCAGATAGGCAGGTCTAGTGTAGACACAGGAAAGTCTTCGGTAGAGCTGAGAAAAGCAGAGCAAGGGCGGCATTTTTTGTCAAGGGCTAGAGAGTAAATAGTTGAGGCTTTGTGGGCCAGCCAGGCTCTGTTAACAGCCACTCCATTGTGCTGTTGTAGTATAAAAACAGTCGTCGATTGTACATCAATGAATGGATGTGGGGGAGTGCCAATAAAACTTTATTTATGGACACTGGGATTTGAATGTCAGATCAATTTCATGAGCCACAAAATAGGATTCTTTTGATTCTTTTCAGCCATTTAAAAATGTAAAAACTAGTCATAGCTCACAGGTCCGACAACGGGAAGCAACAGGTGGGATTTGGCCTCAGGCCACAGTCTGCGGACTCTTACCTAGAGGAACACACCTGTTTTGTTTCTGCCTCTCCTAACTTCTGCTTTTTTGAATTGGGAGGACATCAGGAGTTACAGCTCTGCAAGGCCCATGATGTGATTAAGACAGAATCCATATTGTGGTCACTTAGCAAAGGCCCTGTGGATGTTCAGGGAGCTACGACTTTTAGGAATTTGAGGGCTGTTCGGCCGTGTCATGAGGAGTGGTCCTGGACCTATGTACCTGCCCCAGCTAAGGGATCTTGGTCAGAGGCAAGTCCTCACCCCTTCCCAGGGGACATTCGGCCCTGTCTGGAGACCGTTTTCAGGGGGAGGGGTGCTACTGGCACGTGGTGGGCAGAGGCTAGGGATGCTGCTCAGCATGCTGCAGCGCACAGGACGCCCCACCACCAGGATTTAGGTGGTCCCAAATGTCAGTAGTACCAAGATTGGAAAGCCTACTCACTCTTGCTATCTGTATTTTATATTTTAAATCTTACCAGTCTTGTGGCTATGAAGATGTGAGCTGCTGAGCATTTGATGATAAAACTGAGTTCCTGCATTTGCTAACACAAATAGGATCATTGGACTCTTAGATCTAATACTTAGGTTCCTAATATTTAAGCATTTTTTTTTAAAGATTTTATTTATTTATTTGAGAGAGAGAATGAGATAGACCCTCCCTGAGAGAGGGGAGGGTCAGAGGGAGAAGCAGACTCCCTGCTGAGCAGGGAGCCCGATGCGGGACTCGATCCCGGGACTCCAGGATCATGACCTGAGCCGAAGGCAGTCGCTTAACCAACTGAGCCACCCAGGCGCCCATATTTAAGCATTTTTTTTAAGAGAGAGTGACCGAGCGAGAACGAGCATGAGCAGGACAGAGGGGCAGAGGGAGAGGGAGAAGCAGACTCCCTGCTGAGCAGGGAGTCCCATGTGGGGCTCGATCCCAGAACCCAGAACCCCAGGATCACAACCCACGCCTAAGGCAGTTGCTTAACTGAAAGTGCCGCCCAGGCGCCCCTTTAAACTTTTTTTTTTTTTTTAAATGTTTCTGTTATTCATTTAGATTGAAGCATCAAAAAATGCTGTTCTCTGAAGACTTAGGAGACCCACGGCACGGTGGGTGAGGCATCGCCTGCTTTTTTATCTTCTAGAGAAAGCCACAGGGTTTACTTTTCAAAACTCCAGAGGCCATGTTCTGGGGGCAGATGACCTCACTCACGACTCCCTGACACAGGAAAGGGAACTGTCGAGGCCAAAATAAATCCTGCATATGTGGTGAGAATCACAGTGTCTCAGAGGCTTCATCACCAGCCCGCGCGTCTCCTAAATTCGTGTGAGGACCTCATGTACATTGTAGAGAAGCTGTTTCTGATTTTCAGTCTTCAAGGCAATTTGATCTGGACACTGATTTACAGATTCTTCTCGAGTATTGGCTTAAACCAACATCATGGGAAAAGGAGAGCTCTTACGTGGGGGCCGTCACTGGCGGTGTCTCCCCGGCGGTGTGCTGGGAAGTCTGGGGTGCCTGAGCTCGCGTTGTAGTGTGAGAGGGGACGGGACGAGCAAAGGACAGTCGTGCTGCCTGTCGTGTGTCCGTGGTCTGCCTTTTGTGACGCAGGCTGTCTGAGCAGCGGTTTGCTGTTACTAGGTGGAGCACTTTGAGGAAGGCTTCCTTCGGGGTCTTCCCCTGGACGGCAGAGACGGGTCAGTAAATAGGGTGGTGAGCTTGCAGAGTTGGAGAGAGGACTCTGTGGCCACTTGGGAGGCACGCAGATGGTTTCAGGAGTAACCCCAGGGACTGGACGCCTTTCCTGTCATGTCAGCATCTGCTGTTGAAGTGCGCACGGGTTTTGGATGAAGGCCCCAGCCAGCCATGAATTAACCCAGAAGGGTGGCCAAGCGCAGAAAGGACCCTTTCTGATGCCTCACCCCAAGGATGTTTTTTGTTCTGTGAAGAGCGGCATTATTTTCCTAACACAGGAGCCCCTCCTCTGCGCTCCCAGCCCTGTAGCCTCATTTCCTACTTAGAAGTGCAGAGCTGTTCTCATGCAGATTATTTCTGCAGACTCTGCCAGGTTTTAATTACATTTTAATGAATGTGAAAACAGTTCACGTTCATAGGAGAAGATTTGGAAAATACGAAAAGCACACACAGAGAACTCCAGTGAAATTCCACCCCCAGAAGTAGGTGTGAGACTTTTTTGGAGGGTTATCTTCCGTGTGTGTGTGTGTGTGTGTGTGCGTGCGCGCGCGCGCACGTGCGCACGCGCGCGCGCCTGCAAAACAAAAATTTGGCATTATTCACGTTCCATCTTGAAACCTACTTTTTTCCTACGTGACACTGTATCATGGACATTTTCCCCAGTCATGAAATATTTTTTTAAGGACTTCATCTCATTTTACTGGTTTATTCCCGTATTTTAAATGGTAGGATTGTTGCTAGGACTTTAGTAATAAAATGATAGTTGTTTGATTAGG